TCATTATACATGGAACGCAACACATTTTATGTCTCGAGTCAATTAGAATCACTCACAGATGCAGAACAAATCTCCTTCCTATTGCATTCTCGGCCAGCGTTCGAGCTTCGTTCAATGTCAACCCAAGTTGATTGCATGCTATCCTTCAGTTCGCCTCTGCAGCGATCGATCAGCTTTAAAACTGTTGACCCAAAATCGTTAAGCTCAACCGATCGCTATACAACGAGCATCTAAATGTAGTGTCTTACCACCACACCGGGTTGTTTAGATAACCGGGCTGTCATCTCACATGGTCAGAACGACCAGTTTCATTGTCGCTTCTGTTTCAGACACCTCCAGACAAATCTGCGTTGGTAGTCGTTCGGTAGAAATGGCTTTGAATGGGTATTTCTCCTCTTTTTGCTTTGCTTCCACAGTCCTGCAATGTATCTCGATTCTGCCCAAGAGAATTCGTACGCATCCTATGTTGTAACATTGGGCGGTTCCTACGATTGTTTAGAATTCGTTCCGCATGTGTGATCTTCCTATAAACTGATGTTTGCGGCTCTCCCTCCACCGTCCTGGTGGCTAACACATCAAGAAATCGAATCTTGTTGTCATTCTCCGACTCCATGGTGTACTGAACGTCGTCATTGGCAACTGATGTGCGGTCTCCAGTTGACTGCGTTTCCGTATCACAAAAGTATCGTGTTCATAATGTTGAGTTGATTGTCGGTGGTATATTTGCTTCCCATTCTTGCTTGACCGTGAGCCGCCTTCACCTGTTCATAAATTTGCCCACTGAGGTGGAAGTAGATCATGAAGCGCAGACCGAGAAACTTGCACATTCCCTCGGTCGTCATCTTTCCGATTGTTTCCTCGCTGTTGTTGAAGCGTTATGTGATGGCCTCATTTTCCAGTTGCAGGTTGATAGTGGCCACCTTTCAACGTGACGCCGCCATCCTTCATGACAGATTGCGTACGTGTTTGCAATGGTCAACAAGAGTGCAACTGGGGACTGAAAAGACTGGAACCGATCTTCTTTTCAAAGGAGTCTCATGGTGTTCTCATTCTAGTTTGAAGTTCTTTCTTCTCATCCGTACACGGCGTCAGTGCCTTCCGTGTTCATATGCGCTTATCATATTTATTCAGAGCACCGACCACAGTGAAATTCTTCGCATCTTGACTCAACCATCATGCGTCCGGAAAAAAGCACTGGACGGCCGTTTCGTCCTCTGTGGAGTCGTTTGCAGTACACATTCCGTCTGTCCCCTTTGAGAGTGGAATCCGCGACCCGACACTTACGAGTTTCCGATGTGCGACACGCATAGCATTCCCTTCAAATAACGACTTTCCAACTCTTAGCCGCGAATCAACTACCACAGTATTGCAAGATGTTTGGTCTGTATTCTGAAGTCGAAAAACGACTTTGAATTATATACGTGGATTCATCCTGAAATACAACGAGCATCCAGAGTTTCCTAAACGTGTGCCGACCGTCTGGTTAATATATATTTGTGATGAGTTAAACTATCACCTCCTTCTACTGAGTCATCAACATTGTTGTCGCATTTATGAGCGTCTGCTCCGTAAAAGAACAGTGAGAGAGTTCAATGGTTCCTATGATGTTTCTTTCCACTTGACCTCGGTTAGACAGCTGTGGATACTCGAAACCCCACTAGATGACCGTTGCTACTTTTGGGATTCAGCAGCCATGCGCTTTCCCTCGACTTCGATCAGACTCTTAAACTCCACTTTGGTACGGAAATGTACGCTGTCATCCGAATATTGGTGATTGCTTGACTGGGTCTAGCTGCCAAATGTTGATACGAGATCCAGAACCACTTCTGGTATATCGGTAAAGCCCACTCTGTCGGTGCGCCTGATGACATTGCATCCGAACTTCCTAGTCAATTTATTGTAGGCACAAATTTATGTATCATGGTAACAATAGTAGGCTTGAAGTCTTCTGACTAGTGGTTGAACTTGTGCCTCAAGCCTTGCACCGCAATCATCGAAAAGATAACAGCTCAACGTGCGAGCGCTACATATTTGTGTACTAACGCTTCTGGGTAGATTGACGCAGATCATGGCTTGCTACGATATGCTCTTTATCATTTCCAAGTCCAGTCTATCGTCACGAAACGAGGAGACATCAGCAATACGCCGACACACCTTACCGACGTTTCGTTTCCACGCGACCATCAACGGTCCCGCGTGGCCTTGGTGACCGGTAAGTCGTCTGCACCTACGCGGATTCAAACACCTGACCTGAAGACTACAACGCAAGCGCGTAGTCTTTTCGGCCACCGGCCGACAAAACGGTAATCAGTCCTATCTATCACCATGCGGCTAGTGGAGGTGATCGGATCCCATTATTGTACATTATTGTACACGTCGGTTAGACTCGTAGCTTTTCAAGACTTAGTCTGTCCATGAAGACAGTGAGATAAAGGCTTATTGAATAGGGAAGTTGTGTACGACGCTGCTATGCCGGCAGGGTTTCCACTTGAACTGGAAGCATAAGTAGTGCGTTCTATGGACGTCAAGAGATTGACCGATTTGGCCATCGATGCCTGTGAAATACTGTTCATCCCTAGCGGTAACGTTCGGCAACAGACCGTTTACACCGGCTAGGTCACGTTTCCGTAATTTTGTGGCCGCTAACATGTTTTGCTTGAAAACATTATCTGTTTGGATGAGGCCTCAGTATAGTACCCATTCGACAGAGAAACCTGATCGTACGGAATTAGATTTTCGGGATTTGCCGCATCGTTGGTTCATTTGCGGAGTCAGCGACCGTTTTTCATTCCCTATTCTGTTCTACCCTTTGACTCCGTATCCGTCTAGTTCCGTTTTTCTACGCTTCTTAGTTTCTCCCCTTGTCCTCTCGTTTCCAAAGAAGGCTCGTCACATGCTACACATTCAAGGAAGCACTGGTTGACCGCCTCGTTCTTTCGAGACTTGTCAGCATTTCACATTCCATCTGCTTGGTTGTCATACCGTTCGGATTCGTGAGAACCAATTGACCGCTTCGTACGGTTCAAACACGTGCAGACTGTGAATGAATACTGTGTTGTGGGAGCAAGCAGAAATTTGGATCTGTACAACTCCATTGCAGTATGATCAAAAACGTTAAAAAGCAAACTACGACTTGTCAACACTGATCGTTTTTCACGTTCTCACGTGATGTCACTAAAAAATCGTTTCATTCACAGTAGGTTGTGACTTAAAAATATGAGATGTCTGTTTAAGAAATGCACATTCAACGATTGTTTGAACTGCTATACTAAGTTCGTTTCCACCATATGTTTCGGCTAAACGTTCCAGATATTTGCCACTCGCCGTTTAAACACAGGGGATGGAGAACTCGCTTCAGATCTGGAACTAAACGTCTGTACTGGTGTCCGTGTGTGCTGTAAAATGTTCGCAGGTGGAGCGGTGGCCTTGGTACGATGAAGTCGACTACATGTAGAATTCGGTAGCTCAGGATAAGGTCGACTTGCAACCGACGATAGGCTATGGTGTACAGTCCCAGACTCTTGCATCTGTCCTCTTACAGTAAGCTTCGCAAACTGAGGATGAGCCTGTTAGCGACGTGTTGAACCTGTCCAATCTTCTGCGCCTCGCCACTAGTAGTCGGGTAATAGACAGGTGAACCGTACTCTAGCATTGGTTTGATGCTGCAGGAGAGAGGCAACTTTCTCAGACCAGATGCAGAAACTGCGTTTGAGCGCCCAGAGCATGCGAAATCCGTTACGATATAGTCTGTTGGAGTTGTCAATGGGTTTCAAGTCGCAACGTGAGAGTACTCCTAGGTCCTTCACGGAAGGTGTAGGATGTAAAAGTTGGCCGTCCAGTTTTTATGGAATGTATACCACTGACGAGTCCCAATAGGGCGAAACTGCCGTTTGATGCTTTTCCAGATTGGTGACTATACTAAGTGGCTTGTGGGCTGCTGGGACGTGCACATTATTTGGACGACATTTCACGAGTTCCAATGGGCGATGAAGTTAACCTACATGTGAGACGAAACGCGAAACACCACGACTACATCGCGGAGAGAAAAGACTGTTGCACAGTGGAAGTGCTTTTACTAGCTCAGTCAAGGCCGAGCATAGATTTCGCATCCGTGTTTACATAGCACAGTTCACTCGGCAGCGTAAGGCGTGTATCATGAACGGGGCCCTTGTCCGCGCGATAATGTAACCTGTCACCTAGCTAGAGGGCACACTAAGTCTGTTTGGGGGAAGCTCAGACGTAATTGGGGCGATGAAACGGCTTGGTGGCTATGCGAAAACATGTGACTTGCAGCGTAGCAACATAGGATTTTGATCGCGGGTACTAGTTCTCGTAGCACCGGCGAAGGGCTGAAACACGCGACTCTTCGATTTCGAAAGGGAATGAGCGGTAACCGTAGGTTATAGTGGATCACTGAACGGCACTGATGTTCCTCGTTTGATCTTCGAAAGCAAACTGAACCATGTCTGTCAGAACTATTCATTTCTTACTAGATTTGGTTAATTATCATAGTTTTTTGGATGATGTCATGGCAAGGGAGCGTATAGGGATCGATGTATTGACCGAAATGCAGATCCGCCTGTTAGAGACAATTTCCGAGATCGTCATTCGCAGTAGCACCCTTACATTAACTGTTTGTAATTGTCGACTTTCCACTTGATAATCTACAGTTTCTGCCCCTCGTGTTTGTTTTTGTGTTCTCTGTTCCTGTCTCCCCTATACTGTCACTTCTAATCACTATGTTAGCGAGAGTCATAGCAACTAGGTGCATCACATCTGAGTGCCCTGACCGCATTCACTTAGTACGTATCCTGGATGCTGTGGTTCAGCTTCTTACGTCCTCGATTCGAGTCCCCTCTCTTCCTTGGGTTACGTGGCAACGATGCAGTGGCAATTAGCACTGATGCACCACTGATATCTTTGCATTTGCTTGGTTGCAGTGAATTCATATTTGTGCTCCATATTGAACTCGTTTGTATATGCATTATCTCTCTCCTTAGCAACGCCATGATGCTCTGGTGTCCAGACGACGTGCAGTGCGGTTAGAATGCGCTGAGCGAGCTGCGGCTGAAGCAGAAGCCTCCCTCTCAGAAACCCTTCGACAGAACTCCCATCCACATGATCCTCCTGCTTCGACAAATCAACCCACAGGTGTTTCGAGTCGACCGGTTGGTTTACCTGACCCATCCGACTCTGCGGAATCATCCTCGGATGATGCCGAACTTGAGAATCGAAGGAACGCAATGTTGGAGCAACTGCTAAAGAAGAGGGAAGAACATTTACGCGCTATGCTACTCAAGGCAAGCCACTTGTTCGAAACTATCATATGCACTTTTATGTGTTTTTCGGACTCTCCATTTTTCTCTCCCGTTTTATTGCTCCATAGTCTTTTCGATTGTGCGGCTTGTCTCAACGTTTTCCAACACATTTTCACCGCACTTATCGGTTTGGGAAACACAAAAGTGCGGCAACAAATGTTGCTTTTGTACCGACAGAATATCACATATCGGCGTTTGTGATACTGGCTGATCTAAAACAATCCGACACAGACTGTCCCCAAGCTTGACTCTGGTGCCACTGCGTTTGTGCGCACGGGTTAAGATCACACTTTGTGATGTATTCATTTGCTCCTCTTTCCGTCTGCTTCTCGGAAGAACATTTTCCTCTCTCTAGTAGCATTGTCTAAGCGATGTTCTGTCACTGAGAATTTTGGTAACAGGTCCTACTGTGTCACGTTGGAGTGCTTGTTGAACTCGTTGTCCCGTCATTCGCTCCACGTGCGTCCAAGCCGGCTAGGTCGGTGTGTTGTGTGTCAATTAACTTACCATTAATTACACGTTAGCTAAAAGTAAAAAAACACACCAGGTTTACAATGGATATGGGATGTGTGGATGGAACTGTGGGTGGTGCAGCACAAGCCACCCATGGTCCCACTGTAGGTGCAGGTGTTCTGTGGCTGTCTTATGGAGGCCGCAGTGACAGGCCGATTCGGAACAAAATGCGGGCCAACCATAGTAAAGCCTCTGAAGTTGACCAAAGCGCCTGCTTTGCAACCAGGTCACGGGTTCGAGCCTGAGTAGAGAGCCGGGTGACCGACTGGTGGTGGTCACTTGGCAGTGAAGCGTCGTTACGACGTACCAGCGTACTGATGGTCTTTCTTTTTGAAGAAAACCGCGCTAGATCGTAAATCCGTAAATATGGTTATCGGAGACAGAAAGACGATGCATGTGTTACACGCGAATCGGCCAGGACTCACTCCCATACAACAACACTGAGCGAACAGATGCGCTGTAAACGCAGCCCTTTAGCGAGAATGAGACGTCGCGACGACGCCACAAGTGCCTCAGATTGTCAAATGCTGATCGGGCTTTAGAGATGCAAAGAGAAACTTCTTTGCCGATAGGTAGACGAAACTATCTACCTGTTCAAGTTGTGCACTTTCGAGTGTGAGCACGGGAGTAGGTGAAAGCCAATCCTTGAGCAGCACTTTACACTTCGATGGGGCGAAGCTCATGCCATACTTAGATGCTCCAACTGCCAACCGATCCAGAATGAATTGCATACCCTGAGGATCGTCACCAAGTAAGACGATATCATCAGCATAATCTAAGTCGGTCGCGCGCTCACCTGGTAGAAGCTCTAGGCCAAAATATTGGAAACCTCGACAGAACGTCATCGATTGCAAAGTTGAAGAGGAATGGGAACATAGCGCAGCCCTGTCGCACACCGTTATTGACAGCGAATTGCAAGGATAGCTCGCCATAGACTCCCACTCTGCCCGTGGTATGAAGGTAAAGTGCTCGTAAGATGGCGGTATATTTCTCTGGTACCTCGTTCTTTAGTAAGCGACGCCATAAAGCAGGTCGATCAATGGAATCAAAAACGGCACGTATGTCTAGGAATGCAACGATAGTGGGCTTGTGATAAATGTAATGTTCGAGGAGCTGGCGGAGCGTGAAGATTTGATCCACGCATCCGCGGCCGGGACAGAAACCAGCTTGTTCTTCACGGTAGGATGATTCACGTATTAGGGATAGTCTACGGAGCAGAATGGATGCCAATAGCTTGGAGGCAACCGAAATAAGACTGAATCCGCGATGATTTACACATGAAGTGCGAGCGCTTTTCTTGAAAATCGGGACAACAACTGCTTCGCACTAAGAGGGAGGCACTTTCTCTTCATGCCAGATTTTTGCGAACATTAAGGTCAGCTGGTTAATGGTCGCCACGTCGCCGTACTTGAACTGCTCCGGAGGAAGTCCGTGAGTCGGCAGCCTTGAACCGCTTCAAGCGTCGAATCTCGAAGCAGACTTCCGCTTCGCTGGGTGGATTCAGTGGGACGAGCCAGGGTGGACAACAAGGTGTACTGCATATACTGATAGATGGTGGAGGCCAGTTGAACTGCGAGTGAAAGTGCTCGGCCCAGTGGTCCATACACCTCTGTTGGTTAGTGATCGGAAACTCATCCAGCTCGCAAATTACTGAGGCCAGTGGACCGAATGAGTTGGAAAACCTTGCGAGTATTGCCAGAGAGGGCAGTGGTCTCCATTTCCAAAACACGCTCAGACCACCATGCCTCGCGATACTTGCGTAGGCTTTGCTTGAGCAGCCGGTTGGCAGAACAGCGCCGTTCGTTGCAATCTGATTCCGCTGGCGGCGTTCAACCAGCTCCAGAGAACGAGCAGAGATCCAAGACTTCAAGTGGCGTCGGGCTAGGCTGCAGCTTGACTGTCCGGAAATGGTCATAGTTTTCTGTATACAAGTCCAGTGTTGCTCCACGTCTTGCGGTGGATTGCAACTGAGTGCATATGCCAGTGAAGACTGGCAGCTCGCCTAGACAGAGGAATCAGTTAATCTGTTTACACCAATCTTGCGGTGCTTCGTGACCCCCACAACATGTAGATTTTCACGCAGACCAGTGCATGATCTGAGTCAACGAAGGTGAATCAAAAGGACCTGCAGTCCAGTACGCTGCCAAGGCATCTGAAGCTAATTGCAATGTGATCAATTTGGAATCACGGTTGTGTTGGCGAAGGGGGACGCCACGTTGCGGAACGCTTCTTCATACGCCTGAAGTTAGTGTTCAGGAGAAACAGATGGTTGTCTTCGCCCAATGTGAGAAGCCTCTCTCCATTATCAAAGCGGTTCTCATCGAGCGCGTGGTGACCACCAAGAGGGCGTTCGTATGGTAACAGGCGGTCAACCCGTGCATTAAAATCCCCAGCAAGGATAACGACATCCGACTTTTTAGCTTTAGTCAAGAGCTGATGTAGATCTCGGTAGAATTCGTCCTTGACCGAGACGTCACTGCAGTCAGTTGGAGCGTACACGGAGATCACAAACAAGCTGCGCCTCTCTTCGCGGCGCTTGTTGATTCAGCGTGAACCTCGAAGCCGAACGGCACATAGTTGGCTGTTAATCGGGAACCAGTCCAATAGTACCGCCTCGGCCTTGCCACTTTGTGATATACCTACACCAGCCAAACACGCTGACGCTGCTTTTGGATCTCCAGAAAGACGCAGGTGATATCTGGCTTCGTGGTCAGTGGGGTATGTCAATGTAACCACAGTGCTGGGATCTTGCAATTGGATTTCTGAAAGGCAGCAGATATCAATATCGAGCGACTCTAGGGTGCGCGCTAGACCGGCTTACTGTCCAGTCTGCATGAGTGTCCGAAGGTTGAAGCACGCTAGACGGAACGAGGATCGGAGATCCATAGATTGAACTCCGTGGTTCGCGGCGCAACCGAAACTGCGGCCAGATTGTTGAACACGAATCGGGTAACGGAAAGTAAGGATTGTTAGCAAACAAACAATTGGCGTGTGATGGTCGCATGAATGTGAGAAGCAGAAACGGTAGCTGATGAACACGTTGTAGTACAGTCCATGGTTTTGTGAGTGGGCGTGATACCCGGTTGCCCAAGCCGAAATAGGGAGTTGACTTAGGGGACTACACCCCGAGCGTTTGACTAAATAACCTACCCGCAAGGCAGCGGGGCGAATTTAGGGAATCGTGCCCATTGGAATTCGCCGATTGAATGTTCAGTTCATGCCTTTCATTTGGTAAATCACCAAACAGGGGCCCAATACTCCCCATGAAATCAGCACAATTGCTGGACTACAATGCCCCACCGAGGTGGAACACCGTCGCCGAATACTTCGCTGGAACGGAGTGCACTCGAATCACCCAGCTGGCACCACGAGGAGGTAGTTCGGCAAGCCAGTCTGTGAATCCATGTGTTCTTTGTGACAATCGCCGACTGCTAACTCTCTGGAACGATGTCCACCCCTTACTGATGGCTCAGATGGCGTGCCGTTGTTGCGACTTGTTTTTTTCTTTATTCATGTATTGCGGCACCATAGCTAACGTGTAACAATTGTGATGAACACCCTTCAGTGCACACGACTTTAGTATGACTTAAACGGCTTGCAGACTTGTTTTTACACTTTTTATTGTCTCTGCTCTGGTTTTCTCCTTCAGAAACGGACAGAGGCCATGTACAAACAGTCTGTCGGATCCTCTTACAGCAAGCACATAAAGTGCTCTACGGCATCCCTTAGTAGGGGACGAACAAATACGACCTCGTCTTCTGTGCTCCACTGAACTCCCGCGACTGCTACGGATCATGTAAATTTAACATCTAATGTACAGTTTTTTCGTATACATTTTCTACCTGATACTTAGTCTTTTCTGTGCTCTGTTGTACTTGCCAGGTGCTGTAATTTCACTTAGCTGTAGACATGCGTTGTCTCTGTCGTTCACCTGCGACCAGGTTGATAATTGATTGAGTTCGCCAGACACTGCATTCCATAGCCAGGTTTGTCCTACCAACTCTCCACACACGTACCCCAAAACCCGACGACGACTTCTTGACCCCGTGGTGTCGGGCGTTGTTGCCTCATCGGCGCAGTAGTGTGCAGTCGTCGGTTGTCATTCTCTAGAACCAAATATCGACTCCCAACGCCAGCTATCTTCACTTGAATAACTTACAGAAGGACGTTGCCAATCCCACGATGCAGTGTTGGGAGTGAATAACACCGAGAACTCCCTCAAATGTAATTCTAGCGATCGAAATACTTCGAAGTGAAGCGTGGTCTAACTTCGGTTTGCATATTTCTGACAGACACGTCAAACTTTATGTGTGTATAGATGTCTTCCGAGAAGGGTCGTCATAGCAAGGTTCAGTCGGATAGCCACCACTCACGTTGGACAGCCGTTTCGCGAACCTGATCAGCATGTACTGTCGCCGAATTCGGACCCGTTATCCTCCTCTTACGAGCCAGACTTAAGCCGCTGAGCTACGGAGACAGAGGGACTCATCCGAGGTTAGTCGTCACTATCAGCTGGTAGACCTGTTCGCCAGAAGACGATAACCCCCATCGCCAGTGTTGTCCGAAAGATGAATCACATATCAATTAAGAAGGTAAGATAGAACAACCGACTGCAAACGAATGCTCAGCCATTCTGTGATATACCTGAGGTGTACTGCGAATTAGCTGCCGTCGAAACAGAGGAACAAACGTTGTGATAGTACAATGGGAGTGGGAGTAACCAGTCAGAAGCGATTCCGACGATGCGACTGTCATTCCGCTCAACACAAAAGTGGTAACGGTCAAAAAAATCCTTTAAAAAGACTAGGACCGTGAGTTCGGCTTTTCTCGAAGCGCCCAGTGTCCGTTGACTAATTATGGCTGAAACTTGGGGGTACGTAAATGGCGGTAAAACGACATACGCACTCAGTTATGCGGATTGGGTATGAAATTGGGCAGTACTGGATCTTTCTTCAGTGCATGCAGCAGGTGTATGTCGAAGATACCTTGTGTCATGATCAATAACAGTGCTTCGTGTCTCAAAAGTCAGTTCTTCGTGGCTTTTGCGAGAACGTCAAGTGATCCCGCAAAGATACGCACCTGCAGAACAGGCTCCAATATTCGCTTGTGCAAGCAAAGGACTACGCCGTGACCACGCGACTTCCAAACCAGAACGCAGCAGGATTTCGTGAAGAAATTCGTTCTACCAAAACTCAAGCCCGGCGTAGTTAGTAATTTGTGCTATGACTATGAGGGTGTCTCTACCTGTATCGCCTTTCTGCGGAGTCCGTAAAAGCACTCGTGCGGAAGATCTGTCTCCTTTAATCTCACTCTGGTCGTGGGAGTCACGTCCGTCTCGTATTGCGTGTGCCACACAATTGGTAAAGCTTGTCATCGCCTACACGGCGACTAGGTTTCGGACAGCCGTTATGGCGTAATCGACGCGTGGGAACGACCCCAAGCGAACGTTTCATTTGGGTGCATCTAACAATAAGGGGCTACATAATAGGAATCAAATGTGTAATTCAGCAAAAGTGAATCAGAGGAAGTTACAAGACGTTTGCTGACGAGTCGCTTCCACGTATATTGTTGCTCCGCATCGAATGATAGCGACGCGGTTTAACAATCAAAGAGGATGCTCGCAGTAGCGCTACTAAATGTCCACCAATCAGGATAGCTGCGTAGACGGACGACCGCGCCTGTTGTGTCCAGTGGACGAACCCATTACGTTCTCTTCCAAACGGCAGTGTGGTTCGTTCCTCGGAACCAATCGTCCAGTCCGATTGTAGACTTCCATCACACAACTACAAACTACACTTCTAGCAATAAGGGATAGCGACCGATCTGAACGCGCTGAGCGACTACCGCATGGCCACAAACAGCCAGCATTCATGTGAAGATAGCGTTAAAGAAACAGTCCATGCAGATCTCACTGTCATGTGGACGGCCTTCATGACGCTTATCACAATAATCATTTGATGAATCGCATTCATCTGCATGGCAGCTTGCTGTCCATCGCTAGTAAGTGCCCCTGTTTGTATCTTTGGTGCGCGCCTAGTGTCGCCATCCGACGTCGGTAACTCTGCGGTGGTGGAATTTCACAGGAAGACAACTATAAATGTGCGGCGAAGCTGTGTGTGCCCTTATACATGTAAGTTTCCAGATCAGCTAGGACCACCTCCCGTAGCGATTTAGAACAAGACTATCTTCCGTGTAAGAGCACTTCGCATCCGAGGCGATCCTCTTCACTCACTGTTTGTGACAGAAGTGACCATAAGTTGGATGCGTCCAGTTTTTCAATCGCTGTACATCCTACACGAGGGCGCTCTATCGGGTATGGGTGATGGCGTCAATACAAGTAAATGACCAATGTGTTCTTGGACGTAGTATTTACTTGCGTACTATCTGCAAATCGAAAGAAAAGCCGTGACTAATTCATAGAGCGTTAAGTGAGACGTAGGCAGGGGCAACTCACTCTAATGCCCCACTACGAAAGCAAGTGAGACAAAGTGACCAAAAGTTATCCATTCAGCCAGATGACATCTCTCGTAGATTATAAGATGACAATACGATTTGAGCCGAGTAGCTTTACAATGTCGTAGTTGCGCGTCAACATACTACATGGTCATAAAAGTCACCGAAGACGACTGCGTCGTTGCTTGCACTGTCACCTCGTTAAGTGGTCTACTCAGACCTAGCATTTCCTGACCTGGGTACCATTGTTCCGGTGAGAATGGACTGTGCGCGTGCATCATTCATCTTAAGCTCCAACTTGTCACTAATACTTACGTTCTCCCCATCAGCCGTGAATGAGGGATGTTAACTGTCTCAACACTGGAAGCACGAGCTCTGGTTCACTGTGTCTCAACTGAAGGCGTACGCGCTACTCTTAGTCATTCATCATCAGAAAACTCCGTAGGCTCCAATTTCTCCAGGAAAAGCTATGCTCTTCTCCTAGATTAGTTTACCACAAGATTTCTCGCAGGACCAAACCGCCTCGCCTCGGCTGCACTCCAATGAAGTGTGTAAACACGCTGATCAACGCTTATAACCTTTTCGTCCCCTCCGCTATAACAATAGATATCCTGAGAACGACGAGTTCCTTATAGAGATACGATCTGAACCATCTGTCGCGGTGGCATGTAGTGGCCGAGCGTCGGTGTCTCAACTTAGTGCATAGGTGAAAAGTTCCCCTGTGGTCAGTTAAAGAGCGACTGAGATGCACAGCTAGCAGTGTGTGACGAGCAACTGATCTTTCAACTCTGAAGCAATATCCGGAGATATTAACTCATTTGACACGCGACTCCAAATCAAGAACCGACAGTGTTCGACTGCGAAGCACTCGATCATTCGGTGGGTCGGGCTTGGCTCCTTAGTTGTTGGTTGTTTTGATGAGGTGCGCAAAAATGATCATCGATTCCATACTACTTGCTTTTGGTTCGAAACTATGTCAAATAAAATCTAGCCGCTGCTTGTTTACCCAAGTTGGTAACCAGTCGAGTGTTGAGGGTGGTGCCCTTTGTTGCTGCGAATCAACAACACCATAAAAGCTGCACAGTCCGCATTCAAGGCGCCAATTTCGAGCCCCGTATACAGAATTCCGCAGGCGATTAAGTGTCCCATCAAGCCGTAAACGCCGAGACAACTTAGTGAGTTAGGTTCACGGACCGGAAAAGGAACGTTGTTCTGATTTTTTCCAACATCAGACCAGGCTGATAACGATAAAGCATGCTCAAAGCAGTGAACTCAACCACTAAAAGTGAGGTGGCAGAAGTTGCTACCCGTATATCACGTGAATCTGTCTTGACATATGACGCTCTGAGATGGTTTATGCGGGCTCCGCACCACCGAAGTCATGATATGGAAAACGGACAAGCAGCGGGCACGATGGTAGTCAGGGAAGTACTGGAGGCTTGAAACTCGCACTCGTTTATCACAACAGTTGCATAAGCCCTTCCGTGTTCACAGCGATCCCGTGTCCCTGCGGCGGGTGTGTTCACCACTTTCAGACGCGACCTACAATTAAACTAGACAGTGTACAGCGAAAATCCATAGCGCTTAGGCAAACATCTAATCTGGAGGCTCTCTGCTGGTCCATGCTGCGCCGCGAACATTGTATCAAAGAGGCCGTCCTAAACGTATTGATCTGAGCCCACCGGTAAACGGATAGCCGGTAATCTCAGATACCAACTTCTCAACAAGGTTTAAGATTATCACTTGCGATGCTACAACTTAATCAGTTCCACAGACACCTGAACAACCAGGACACTAATGAATCCTCTCCCAGCCAGTAATGCGTCTCGATTACCTCTGTGTACATCGGATCTAATGATACGTATGTGGCGACTCGCCCGTACACGACAACTGTATGCAAAATTGTTGAGTGGCGATGATGACCACAGCTTCCGGTTGGTATGTACACGTTTGTTCGCAAATTCAGTTTAAGTGGTTATATTGTACAGTGGAGTCCGAACTACACACAACACAAGGGGTAAGTTCGATCTAGAGCCCAGGCATAAAACACATCGCTGTTCGTCCGGACTGAACACAGCCGATTTGGGTGGCTAGCTCACACAGGTCCGAGTGGATACGATGGCAGTTGATCATTCAACGAGAGAGAGAAGACACTAAGGGGTAAGCACACGTGACATGAGAAGGCTGTTGAAAGGTGAAAGAAGAGAATCGCATTTACAAAAGGACTACCCGCAAAACATAAAAAATCTGTAAAAAAACGGTTGTCGCTTCAGGAATACATGTTTTGGCCATCGTATAGTCACTGCAGCTGCCGTAGGACTCCACAGGGCTATGTACACAGACAGGTTCAGAGGGCGCACGGAGAGAGAAGGACTGGAAAGCACGTCAACGGGTGTAACCACAGGGGAATGAACACTGAAACTTCGTGAACATTTCGGTGGGCAAAAATCCAACGATGTGCCTCCCGTAGCAAAACAGACGTAGCACAAGCGGAAGGCACGGCAAAAGAACATGGCCAATGTGATTGAAGGCGATCGCCAATGGGACTGAATTTAGGTCACTCTGGCCATAGACTGACTAGATACGGCTTCGCAATCATCTCCAGTAGAACCGCTGTTGACCGATAACTTCGGTATAATGTCGTCGCTCTTGTCCTTCGTTGAGGAAACGTTCTGGTCAGGTTCGAGAGCCTCCTCGTCGTCACTCTCTTCATCGGAATAATCAACCAAACCAAATGTTGAGGCGTCTTCTTCACCATCGCTTCCAGTGGACTGCAAACAAACAAAATGGATAATAACCAGAGATCTTTCCGAGTTCGTTCATATTAACAAAACAATAACTGAATTGTGGTTGAAAGGGAATCATTCAAGAATAGGTGGTCTCGACAGAATGGTAAGTCACTAATGCAATGTAACGGAATGTGGATCTGTGCTGCAGATCTTCAACTCGCAACCTTTGTGCTCCTGGTTCGAGTGCCTGCTATTGTACGCCGGTACGTTGTAGCAACACCTCACTGCTACAAGCCCACCACCAGCCGCGTGTTGGCTACGGTACTGCGGGGCCGCTCGCATCTACGTAGGATCGAACTGATGGTCTGTGGATTGTAAGCTGGATACTCTATCCACTAGGCCAGGGTTTCACAAACATTTCGGGCCATGAACCCTTTTCATTGGGAAATTGCACATCGGACCCCGTGAGCAATTGTTAACCACAGGACTGAGCTTTAATAAAATAAGGATGAGGTGTGTTCATTATTGTATACAGAATAAACACGAGTGTTCATTAATGTTAGTAAAAGATGAAGGTGTTCAATTTAGGTCGAAGAAACAACCTACATTAATCCACAATGTGTAGGATGAAATCGTTTCTAACATGTAACACTGACTTCTTCAATGTTTGGTGTTATTTAGGAAAGCTGCAACCTCATATCTATTGCAGGACTTTGTTTTTGTGCAGGGATAATGTGAAAAGGCATTTCCACAAATAAGTTGAGGCAAATGGGAGACGCACAGCGACGGGGTACTCGCCCTTCATTTTACACCAGAAATCAGACAGTTTTTGATTCTTGTCACACCACCACCAGCAAACCTTTTCTGTCATTGTTTTGGCACCATCAGTGCAAATAGCGATACAGTTCTCAAATGGAACGCTGTTCTCGTGCGTAAAATTATCCGCGATATTGTACATCACAGCACCATTAGGGTTCTTCGGCATAGGTTCCCACAAAAGCATGTCTTCTTCCAGGGATAGTTGATGTTGGTGTCTTACAAGAAAATGCAGCATGGCAAGTCTTGTCACATCTATCGACTCATCAGTTTGAAGTGTGAAATGAGTATACTTAATGCGTGGGGTTAACCTCTCATTAACAGCAGTTGCTGGTGTCTTAATTCTTTAATAAACTGTATCATTTGATAATGGTAGTACAGACGGCTGTTTTGCTGATTTTTCATGCGGGATGCACCTAGCCATTTTGACTGCACATGACCTGATAAATTTCTCGGCTACTGTGTAAGGTTCCTTTGTCAGCGCAACAAGATAAAGAAATATGCAAGATACTTCAGTAGCCTTTTCATTTACAGTCGGGGACGCATGAGGCATATACCTTTGGGTGCTCAACAGCATATCGCCTGTGCTCAAGGTACTCCATATGTATATGTTTCGCAGTACCGCATGCATTTTTCCAAAACGCCACCAAATTTTTGCATACACCAGATAAATGTTTGGAAGCACATGGTTACGCAAGACACATTGTGGGCAATTGGAAATGTATACATAGCTCCCTGACAAACCAGAGCTGAGAAGTTTTAAAAATGATCGGTGTTACTGTCGCTCAGTCTGTCACCCCATTGGGGACCTCAAAAATGTAATACATTCATTCAGGCACTTGTTCTGACCTTTCCGACCAGACTAAAAACACAATCATATTTCGCTTGACAAGCCATGCTAGGTTGTTTTCTGTGCAAAGACGTGTACCACCAGGTATTTCCAATCATTGTATCGCAAAGGTGTTTCGACGTTTACGTTTCCAAGTTCATCGAGGAAAAAGGAAGTTGAACTCAAGGAAGGCTAATAGGTCCGGTACTCATTCACCAGTCGTTATGAAGGAGTGTGCCCATACTTCCACTATGCCTCCGGCAAATCTCTTCACTCGTTGCCTGCATGACTGCACTATTCCTGACATTGGGAGGCCTGTCGGGATAACACCCGTACCACTTCCGTCAAGTTGAAAGCCTTAGGGCGATTACTCGTGACACGCACGCTCGACACGCACTTCAGCTGAGGACGTAGCACAATTTGCCTATAAACCCGACATTTCAAAATGGATGTCATAGCATACCTTGTCCAGTCAAAAGCATTGCATTAAATGCGAAACACAGGACTGTGTTGCTACTCTTACTTGAATATTCGATCGCTTGTAAAGTGCTTAATTTGCTATCTGAACGGTGTTCAACCAGTAATGTGTAACCTGATGAGAAACTATTTCGTAAATCGGCCTGATTTCAACCAGTTAAACGGTGAAAAACCTGTTACTCTTCACAATGAATGCGGTGCTTTACAAGCAACAATCTACTCCCTCTTATTCTCTTTATACACCGAAAGGATTCCTAACCATCCACGTCGACGACTTTATTTTAGACAGCATTGTACCCAATGATGAGTCATCTATGGTTCTTCAAAGCGAGCGGGATAAGGTTTAACGGTGGTCGTCTTCCCGATACCTTATTCTCATCACCTTCCAAGTGCTACGATGTAACGTTCTCTCTTCTCCTTACTGGCAAACATCTGACTTTGACAAATACTTCTCGCCCCGTAGCCTTAAGGATCAAAAGCTTGTCTTGTAATCCGAGGGAGCGGGTACCAGCCTGCATAGAGGACCGGCCGACCATCGCAGCATTCTTAGGCCACGTGCGACTAGTGGTTGGTACGCGTCAGCGAAACGTCGGTATTGCGTACCGGTGTACTGCTGATGCCTCACGCGCCATAGTCGTGAGTGAGTACATCATGCCCAATTCACACACACAATCTATCGTGGTCAACACAGAAATGCCTCCAGTACCCTGCCCTTTAGTCTACAAATTCGTGATTGCCTATAGTCTTCCTTACTGGCTACACTGCTCACTTATCATTTTTCCTGGTATATTACAAAAGGATTTCACACTGATGGTGCGTTCCGTTAAGCTTCTCTAGGTGTAGTGGATTGCCCAGAGAATCTGAATTACCTCGTTCTGTGGCATCACGGCTTTTTTGTTAAAAGCATTAAATGATCCTTTCTAGCTATCAAAAGCTCTCTCCCGCTAAGTGTATGCACTCTAAATTTAGGGTTTTATTTTCTCGCACGCATAACCATCGTACCGCATTTAGGTCGTTTTCTCGTAAACTCCAAGAAAATTACCGATACCACGCGTGAACGTTTACCTGAATGACTGACACACATGCATATTTTATTTTTTTAATCTTCTAGATCAACGTTGTGCAGTGCTAGTGCAAAATGCCGAAAATGTTTCCGTCGGGTACACATAAAACCTATTATGACTTGACCTGACTTGAACAGGTGATAGGTGTGCTACAGCAGCAAACCGTGCGTCATATTGCCCATTGAAGTGGGCGACACTCTGTGCAACAGATAGATTGGGTTCGAACAAGAGAGTCAAATAAGTCATGGGGTAGAGAAGAAGTGCTGATACCAAAGGCCTTTGTATATTGTTCCAGTCTCCATTGCGGGTTTGAGAAAAGTCGGCGAAGTATAGTTGGGATGGACCGGCCCGTGGCTGAAAGGACAAGGTGACTGTTTTGCAACCAGGAGGTCACCGGTACGAGCCTGCGTAAGGAGACTGAGCGACTCTCGCGCGCGCGACTGATGGGAGTTGCGTGGCAGCGAAGCGTCGGTACGACGTGTTACCGCTGATGTCTTTGCCTTATAATTAGGATGAAGGGTACCGGAAAAATCTGATAAAATAATTACCAAGGTACTCAGTTGATAGTCACCTCTTTGTTTAGAGGGTTGGGGGTATCCATATGCACCGGGGTCGGATGAAGCAATACAATACCCTTGAGATACATAAGTCGATCGTTTATAGGAATATGTGCAACCTCCTTACAATGATTTGGTATATCGATAAAGTGCCAGATAACCCTTTCCAGCCCTGAGACAGTATTTCTCTTCTGTGTGAAAAAGACATCAGCGATACGCCGGTACCTCGTAACCGATACTACTGTTACCAGACCCCAACCGGTAGTCGCGTGCGTGCTAGGAGGACTGCGAGGTGGCCCGCTTTTACGCAGGCTCGAAGCGGTGACCTGTGTACTACAAATCAGTTTCCCTGCACTTCATTGCAGCACAATTTTATCGCACCTGTCATACTTACTTGCTGATCCAACGGAAGAAGTCACCTGTGGGTGACATGTGACAGCTTGCTTAAGTGATAACTGTACCTATTCTTCTAGTTCACCTTATATAAATATATCAACAGTTGATATTGGTCCGCTAAGTGATGGTCTAATTGACGAAAAGTTACTTTTTTGTGAACACTATTTCGCCTAGACGTGATTGCCACTTAACTGGAGATTGTGAACAGTACCCGAAATGTTCTGGAGACTACTTGAAGTGATACATTGCAGTAACAGTTGTGAACAGAACCCCACCCAGTTCGCCAACCTGGTTAGTGGAGGTCGGTCTTTGTGTGCGGTGATATTTCAAATGCGTCAAAGGGTGATCGAGTTTTGGAAAACAATGGACGGAATTGATTAATCGCCGTAGCCAGAAAAACTCGAACGACATTCAGGAAGTAGACAAGACAACGGAAACCACAGAGTAGGCGAGAAAACTCACTAAACCCGAGCAATTTGGGTCGGTGGGGGCCGCCTGGTCACTAATTTCTGATGATGAGTCGACAGAGCATGACTGGTCAGGGTGAATAGGGTCTTCAGATGAAAACCCGATCGGGGAGGATGTAGCGTGCCTAGATTTCTTGAAACGTTTGAAATTTTTAGTAGGTTCGGATGTGGGGGAACCTCGTTTGTGGTGCAGCACGTCGGCAGGAATGGTATCTTCAGTCACTGGTTCACAAGTGGAAGATATCAAGGGCTTCACATCACATACTGCATTGGCGAAGGGTAATAATCCATCAAGTCCGCTCTCCAATCGCGCGCCGGTAGTAACATCAAATGAACTGATTTGTGGCTGTTCGGAGGAGCATAACGCATCAGGAAGCGGCGGTGGATGCGCAGATTTGAGGTGGATAGAAATGGGTGATGAATGGCGTGATAAACTGGGACGGTTGGAAGAGAGATTGTCGTCGCCATCAATTTGTTGCGACCGGATGCGATTGGAGAGATGGACTGGATGACTGAGTTCGTTTGTTTTGAGTGAATCGGATTTCAACAGACCTATGGGCGCAGAGTTGTGCGAAGAGGGTGAAAACACGTGGCCATGCGGTGATGGCGGTTCAGGATTAGACCCAGTTGAGACAATGGTGGAACGGAGGGAAGTGAAAGCGGTTTGCGGCGCAGGCAGATTGGACAATCCCACGAATTCAGAACTGGTGGTAACGGCCAGGCTTGGATGCGTGTCAAAATGTGGTACGGTCGATATTCCCTCAGGAAGGCAAGTGGGAGAGAGAATACCGGAGGGGCTATTCCCGTTGGCAGTTCCGTTAACTAAGGCTGTGGTCTGTGGAGAGAAAAGGTGGTTATCATCTTCGTCATCTTCTTCCTCATCGTCTTGATCAAACCACTGCTCTTCCTCCATTTCCAGTGATCTGGGATCACGCTGAAACCTGGGTGTGGTAGCATTAACCAAGGACAATCTGTAGTGAGAGGGTGGATAAATGACAGCTGTTCAGTAACGATCAATCATAGCAATGTGAGCATGAAAATGAGTACCAATCAGCTAACTGCAGCAAGTGAACTACCAGTAAAAGAGGCTTAAAGCAGAAGCCGAGAGGAGTTATTCGTAAAGCGAAGTGAGTCAGTTCTATCGCGCCATAATGAACTCATTTAGCAGGGGAGAGTTTCTAGTGGTGTGCGGCAGTTTTTAAACAGGAATTTAGTGTCTGAAACATAATGCGAACCTGGTATTAAATCGCGTGATGATGATGATACTAATCAAAATGACGTAAGCGAGTTTGCCGTACAGGGGAAGTTGAATGCTAATAACTGCAAAGAAGGATAGAGATGTAACACAGTTGAGTGATTTTGGTGTAAATGGAGTACTGGTAAATGCAGCTCCTCTGCAACGTTTGTAATACGCATGACGATGGAAGAGTCGCGCTGTACCAAAATTAGCTTGTAAGTCACGACTACCTACCGCCATGCACCCGTGGCCCAGTGGTACAAGCCGCCAGTGTCGAGAAGGCAGTGGCAGCGAATCCAATTTCGGAGTGGATACGACAAGATATGGTTGAAGAATGATCTGCATACAGGGTCTGGCTCCAAATAATTTAAAATTTGTTAATCTACCTAGTGTATTGTGCTAGCTGATAAAATTCCACTCTGTGTGAAAGTAGCGGCTAATGCCAGCCAAGGCAGGCGAGCAGTAAAAACTTCTCCTGTACGATAAGACGAGTAGCTGCGAAATGACGGGTACCGCACGTGATGTGAAAGTTATGGGCCAGTTATTTACCACCCGTGGCGGAGCTATACGCTATCGGGCGCGTCTCCAGGTTGCGGATTGAGGAATGTCTTCCTTGACGGGGTAAGTGCGAATAATTCTCGTCCGCTTTACAGACGAGATGAATAAGCAGTCGCGGACAACCAACAGCAGCGTCTGGGCTGATCACCCTGTTCTCCAAATAAGCCGCTGTGTCAAAGCCAATGTGACCGGCTATATGGTCACTGACCACTCACTTCTGTAACTGAAGGTGAGTATCTAACGGAGGGTGGATGAACAACTTTGCTGACCACCGGCTTCTCTGTGAATTGCAACCGATCAAAAAGAAGACGTATGGGCCACCTGACTGTCAACGGTCTTGGTGAATCGTCCCGCTGCCTTGCGGGTCAAATCCTTAAGATCAAAGTCTCGAGGTGGGATCCCTTAATTCAACCCTCTTTCTCGGGCTGGGCAACCGGGAAGCTCACTGCCCACGCAACACATGGACCTTCACATCCCTTCCTTCTTTTTGTTGTTGTTAATCATGTGTCGTGGAACTCTGCCAAATGTTTATCGGTAAAATGTCAAACCAGGCCACAAAGATTCTTATTCGAAGAATGCATCATACCGATTGGGACAATGGCTTTGATGGACTATACGCGGCTATCTATTCAGTCCATGGATGTAGCAAGCCAGAGTTCGTCATCGGTAGCTTTATGGACGTGAATGTCACCGGTTGACGTTGTTGCGTTCCGATGCGTCGTCTCGAGAAGTTTGCCAACGCCGTGTTTCTGGTCGATATGATCTGTCATAAAAATTGTGCCAGTAGAACTAAAGAATCCCAAATGTCCAAACGCAACCTGAGTGTCAAACAGCCCAGTTTGCAGACTGTCCTTCACCTGAAGATCACTAAAATGGCTAGATAAGTCGACGCTTGTAAGTGCCACTCGAGTGACTCAGTATGCACACGACTTCTGACATTAATGTCTATTCTAAGTGACTAATGATCGCAATGCAGCCCGGTAGCTTAGTGCCGAGCCAAACGGCCAGCCTTGCGTACAGGGAAGTTTGGGTATTCAGGAGAACTATGCACCGTTTAATGTCATACAATTATAGGAGCACTGAGGAAACATATTGCGGCCACAAATTGGGATCAATATAGCAGCTCCGAAACGGCACCATTACAAGTGACAGGCTATCTGGAGCACCAGGTTAAAACTGAGCTGATGTTTGACCGAAAGGTTAACAAAACTGAGGTTGTGTGATTACCTGACGTCGCCCAGTTCGATAGCTGAAGTTTCACCTGAGTGTACTGATAAGAAGTTTAATTTCTACGATATGATAACGCCCCACATCACAGCACGCATCAAAACTAGAATACCCATGTCTAAACACACTGGTTGGCGCCTCAAGAAGCGCGCAGAGCACGGTACCGATCTACTTGAGTCTTTTGCGGTAATACTATACGAACTCGCGTGCAGGGTAGTGATAGAGACACTACTGAGCAGCGAAGTGACTGAAAAACGCTGCCAGTCATTTCTACCTTAACATCAGTCTGAGTGAAGAATTCAGAGATGGTGATGCTTCATGGGAAAGAAGTCATAAGGCAATATTCAGTCAATAGATGGCGACTTTAAAGGCTCATTAGTGAGACAGCGATGAATTGAGTAAACGAAACCACGTTGTACCGTAATGATGTGACTAGCAAGATACTAAAACGGAAAACAGGTAAGCTGGATTGGGCGGGACATACGACGATGACTTATTGTTTAGAGAAATCAGTTTCTAGTCTAAATGCACAACAACTGGGATTGGGTAATCCGCTGAATTGGCAGGAAAGCGAAATTGGGTGATTCTCTAATCTCCAATGGTTGCAGAAATAAAAAATGAGGAATAAATAGCATCAAATTGAGAGGACAGTTTGGCACTAACTAGAACATAGCATCCGACCAAGTAATAGTATGATGAGGCGTAATCAAGGCGTCGTTTATCAAAGTTTCTAACCACGGGGGTCTGGTATGCTTGGACAAAATCATTGGAAACTCCGTTGGTTTCTGCGATGTTAGCGCCTTTGAATGGACATACGTGGATGAAATCGTTGGCCATTTGCCGAAGAGCAATCTCACTGTGATCAACGAAGTAGGTGTAACCCCGCAAAGAGCACCGGCAGTAAGTTGAGACTCCGTAAAGACGCTATGCCATCACGCGACTACCAGCGGTCGCATGGAGGAGACATATGCTCAAGCAAATTCTATCCGACTGACCAGTGGATTGCGTATCAAACACCTAAACCACTCCGCAACTGGACGTTAGCAGCGGACAGATGAAGAACACTGGTTTGCGTATTGCTGGAGAGTTCATACCGCGATATCTTCATGATTTACAACGCAACGCATGATGCCGTTTTCCAGAAAAGACTGCAACGACATACCGTGCTATAATAAAAACAGGGCCGTTCAGGCTATCCTAGATATACCACTTAATATTGCAATGAAATAAGAATACTCTCAACGCATTGCAGATAGAACTGAAAGTTCAGCTGACACATTGACATACATAATTCGAAGTTAACCGCCTAGTCTAAGCTTGCTCTTAATATGGGCGCGGATGATATCTAATGACATTCAAACTACTAAGCAAACGTCCGGTTACCTCGGTCAGAAAGAGAACATACACCCACACTGCTGTGCTGCGGCGCATGCCCAACATCGAAAACAGATATCCATGTGTCACATAGCAGCTACCAGCACAAAAGGACTAACGGTAACTAGGGCAACAAATGATGTCCAAATGAAAAAGAGAAAACATCTGTTTAGGAGAGTTGTCGAGATAGCGATTAAAAATAACCAATTATCTAGGTTGGTGTTAATCTCACTATCATCCACGGAAGTGTATGATAGAATGCGCGAAAAAATCTGAACAAAGAGCGATAGAGCTGAAACGTAAAATCCATATCACGAAATTGTAACAAAACTGTGACGGACAAGAAGGCTACAGAAACTCACACGTCCAGGGCACTTTGCTGGCCGACGGAACCTATTATTGCCGGTCTGGAGGGTCGATGACTGTGATCGTAAACACGTTTCATGTCATTAAATGTTTGAACGTAGTTCACGTTTTTCAAAATGTCCCAGAAATTCTCGATCACATGGGTGACTAAAGAGGCGATTTCTTCGGAACGTATGTAGTCAAACAGCTCAATTATGGCAGAATCAATGAGGTTGTATCGATGCCCATTCGCCACAAACAGCTTTATGACCGGTTTCAACAAATTGTTCTTGATGAGATAGCGATTGTAAAATTCTTCCTTCATGTGAATCACACGTCGCAATAGCCGAAGTGCAGCTACAATAGTGAGTCAATGAGGTGAGCTATATTGGTGCTTACCCAGAGCGAGGAACTTGTGGGATGACTGGAGTAGAACCAGAACTCGTTTCAACAGGTCGCGATTGAAGCAATAATTTTTCATATGATAGGTGTGCGTTTCGATACAGAAAGTAAGAAGCTCCAGAATATGATTCAATACGAGAGCCGTATGGTAATCGTCTGCGGAAGTAAAAGCACGGAATTTCACGACTTACCCTTTTCAAGGACATCCTTAGCCGTGTTATCGAAGAGCGGCCGTACAAGTGTACCAATGCAACGCTTATAGAAGAAACTGAGAAATTCGGTTTTTTCACCGCGCTGAGAAAGCATGCAAAACAAACGAACGGTTAGTAATGAACTAGACGTTAGCAAATAAAGATTAAGATATTTCGTCTGTTTTTGAAGGGGGGAAAGTATAAACCAAAACTGCGATAGTGAGAAACGATATCAAAAGAAAAGGGATCAAATTTCAGCTTACCACGCCTGGATTATTCATATTATCTGGATCGATGAGGATGCGGAGCATGTAACCCAGGAGGATTGCATCACTGAGCTCTGAAGTAACAAATGCAGAGGGACACATCGTCAGTGTAACATCAAGGAACAAACCATCCAAGGAAAACATATCTCCTCTAGATCATGGGGGTGTGCGTTGAGCGCATAACTACAGAATGAGATGAATTGCGGTAAGTTCAGTGCATTATTCGGTCAAGTGGAAGCTGTGAATGAGCGTAATCTAATCAATCAACAGAGGAGAGAATGGAAAAACTCCTCACCTGGATCAGAATCCCACAAAAGTTGATTTATCATTAAATTGATAAGCAATTCGTCATCCCTCCTGAATGCAGCCGTCTCACGGTATACATATCCGCGAACGACGGAAGGCTGATGTTCCACGAAGGCTTGAAGAATTTCTAATGCGGCAGCTTTTATGTCTTTATCATCGATGACGAGCAAAACTTCGGCAGTTCGCAGTGCTCCGTGTTGAAACAGACAACTGAGAAAGCTTTCCTTTTGATCAGTTTGGATGGATATATTGCAAAACTCTTTCACAAACAACGACAATTCTCTTCGGTGAGCCAGATCGGTATCCGGTGATTTCAAACGTGCAAACAGACGGCACATAAATTCCTCATCATCTTGGAAAGCACGGATGATTTCTAATTTATTGAGCGAGATGAACGTCTTCAGTTGAGAGAGAGTGTGTTCATCAAACAAGCATGGGGGCGGTAGACAACACTCTTGGATGTATTGAACACGATACGTTTGGTGAATCTTACTAGTCAAGTCTGAGTTGTGAAGAGGCAATACTTCCTTGAAAGCAGCTTTGTTAAGTAGAAACTCTCTATGACGTGTCCTCCCAGAAGGACTGTACTCAAGCATACCGATTACTTCCATAAGCATATCATCTGCAAACAAAGTTTCATATACGCTGTGTTTATTTATGAGAACAAATTGCCGCATGATCTCATAAAGATGGTGGAGTGACTCCATATCTTCCAGATCCTCAGCTTTGTGGAACAGATCTACCAGTTGCCCAAGATAGTTCGTAGACTCCAAAAGAGCGACGAGGCGTTCACGTTTTTGTGGTGAGGCTACCGCTTGGCTAACCATATCAGATGTTTCTTCAAGATGACTGAATTCACAGGGAGGGAGGACTAGGGGTTGTACACTCTGGATAAGAATAGGCGTGTAGCCATCGGTGTCGTCAGCATCATCGGATTCGTCCACTACTTCTTGTGTAATCTCGACTGATGGATCTTTGCCTTGCACAGCGCATATTTTTTCCCAAACATCGTCGCATCCAACCTTCTCTTGGAACGACAATGCAAGATCCATATTTTCACCTTCAGACCAAACTATGAGAGTTTCTTGTTGTTTCTGATAAGCTGTATCGGGTTGTATTTTGGACTCCAACAGATAAGATCCGTCGGTTTCTGAGATGACAACGAGCGCCATGTTGTCTTGTTCCGTGCAAACAGCAGAAACGTGCCCGGTACCCTTGTCATCCCATTGGCGTTCATCATTCAGCATATACAATTTTACTCTGCGACGAGTGCTGGCCTCTGCAGAACCCATAGCTGCAACAGAGAAATGACTTTGTATGAAAGTGCTGGGTGGCAGGGAGACGAGATAAGTGACTTGTAGGTGCATGCAACTTCATGATAAATTGAAGAGTATGTATATGAAGAGTATAGTAAAACTTGAAAGAGATATAGTTCAATTCAGATCTCAAGATGGTCAGTGAAAAGAAACGCAATGGAGCCGGCTGCCAATAGTACAAAGTTGTGACAGCTGACGTTGACGATGAAGAAGATAGAAAGATCAAATTAAAGGATACTTGAAATAAATGGTTGGTAAAGTATCGCATTATACGGTTGGCAAAAACGATAGACGTAAATCCGAAAAACAAAGTGCGAATGCTCGGTAGGAAATGCGCGACATATTCAGTAAGACGAGTACAGATACAACGGTACAAGAGAATGCATGAAAGAGTATTCACGGTACATCTGTATTACACACCGACGCTTTGCCACCGTGAGTTGGGATACCACATCAATTCAGGAAAGTGAACTCAAACCCGGCCGGGGTTAGTTGTTACGAACCGAACTACTACTACAACACTGAGGTCTTTAAACCACATTCGATGAGAACCGGTACCGGGTTCGTCACATACAAAAACGAGTGGTTGTCAAATGAACAGCGATTCACCATTCGTTCGTTTGAATTCCTAATGGTATGATAGAGGTGAACGAGGGTCAATAAGGTACCATGTTTTTGGCAACGGTTGCACTTTCACGAGTAGTTCGCACTATGTGATCGCGGCCACAGTGGGGTTTTGATAAAATGCGTTACGGATAGTTGGGGAGCAAGAATGAAAGAACTCGAATGGTTACCGATAACAGTTACGACCAAAAGTCGCAGACATAGTATGAAGCCAAACAACGTTCAGGCGCACTGCAGTAAACAATAACGATATGTAACGAACGAGTAACACCTTGCCACACGAGCAATATCGTTACATTGAAAACTAAGTTCATTTCCAGGGAATACGGTCACACAACGGTATTGCAAGCACCGCAGTGTAGCGGGCTCAGTAACCTTTGCCGAAAATGAAAAACGACAGCAGCACTCAGTGCTGCTCGTTTGCTACTGTACAACAGCATTATATGTAAAAATCATGGATAAGAAGAAAAGTAAAAAGATAGTGTATAATGCGAACACTGTGAATATGTCGCATCAAAAAAACAACGGGACACTAGTAAATGGCACATTCGCTTAGATGCCGCGGAACCAAATATAGCAATGGAAAAGAAGTGAGGGCAATTTGATGTAAAGCCATAATGTTTTAGTCAAGGCACCTACGTCATCATCATGATCATCATCAACAGCAGTACATCAGCCATTTGAACTGATGCTTCGCTGCCATACAACCATGAGGACCTATGAAATAAAGAAGAGGGAGAGAAGGGGACTTACCTGAAAACCTTAATGCCCTAAGTAAACATTCAGGGTCAAGGTGCCTACATCTTGTGTAGACAACATTCCGTCACAAACAGCTGGCTATCGTGCAAAGATAAGGCGGCATCGGCGAGACAGCTTCCTTGCGGCGTTCACTGCCCCAAGTCATAATCAGCCATTACCCCGCAGATAACTCAGCACCAAACACACTTTAAACAGACAATCCGATTAGGAGACGGCAGCAGATGCGCCACTGGTGTCGGTTGCGAGCCATGTCCTGTAAAGTCTCAAGCCAAGCACAAGGTGAGTCACGTGGACTCCAACCCGGAAGGCGAGACGGACAAACGGCACCCAGTTTGGTCGTCAGTGACTTCATTTCCCGCTGCCAGGTCAACTTCTGTCCACCCCGAGCCTTGCGCCATCCTACACCTGGTAGACTGAACAAGGCCCTCCTAGGTAAGCGGTGACCAGGCATACGTAGCACGTGCCCGAGCCAACGCAACTTATTCAGTGCTATCTGTTGTTCTAGGGGGCTAGCATGATTATCACCACCTAGTACTCGCCTACGCACATCATCGTTGCGGACACGCTGGTGCCATCCGACACCAGCAATGCTTCGCAAACAACGATGATCAAAGACTTGAAGGCGCCTCAGATCTTCAGACCGAAGGGGCCAAGTTTCACTACCATACAGCAGAACGGACCTCACTGTGGCCTTGTATACACGGCCTTTCAGACGGAGAGAAACTCCCTTCTGTCGCCAAAGATGCCGCAGGTTCAAGAAGGCAGCTCTGGCCCTTGCAATGCGTGAGCTCACGTCAGTTTCTATGTGCCCATCGTTGCTGATGCAGCTGCCAAGATAAGTGAATTGATCAACCACCTCGAGTTCCTCGTTAGCAAGGGTCAAGGGGTCATCAAGTGGCTGGTGGTCCTGCAGCAACACTTTGCACTTTGAAGGTGCGAAGTGCATACCAAATAATGGGACCACTCTGGACAGACTATTCAGGGTTGACTGTGCCACCTCAACATTGTCGAAAAGCAAGACGATATCGTCCGCATAATCCAGATCAACTAACCTTTCACCAGACAGCGCTTCAACGCCTACATCATGAGATTCCGCAAGGGAACACTCCATGATAGAATCCACAACGAAATTGAACAAAAACGGGGAAATCGGACAACTATGACGAACGCCACTTGTGGTCGGAAAGCTATCCGATAGGGCACCATAGACCCTGACGCGGCCTGTAGTGTTCGAGTATAGAGCACGAAGGATGTTCACATATTTCGTGGGAACACCTTCCGCGCAAGTATTTCGAACAGAATCGATCGATCGACTGAATCGAACGCACTCTTGAAATCGAGGAACACAGCTATTGTCGGGCTGCGGTATGCGTGGCGCTGCTCTAGCACCTGCCGCAAAGTAAATATATGGTCTATACAGCCACGTCCTGGGCGAAAACCGGCCTGCTCCTCCCTAATCCGAGATTCCCGTTCTGCAGTGAGGCGACGAACGATAATCGAGGCCAGTAATTTTGTCACAACTGGCGTTAGGCTAATACCCCTGTGGTTCGCACAGTCTGTGCGACTGCCCTTCTTGTAAATTGCCACTATAATCGATTCGCTCCAATTAGCTGGCACACTCTTCGTTCCAGATACGTTCGAATAGGGAGGTCAGTGCCCTGCAGAGAACCTCACCTCCATCCTTAAATAGTGCATGTGGGAGGGAATCCGGGCCAGCGGCACGAAAACGATTGAGGGCTGTGATCGCGTTTCGGACCTCGGCCTCCGACGGAGACTCCAAACTAACCGTCCACGGCACGTCCTGCATCACCTGAGTAGGAAGAGGTCCAGGAGCAGGGGGCCAGCTGAACTGATCTTGAAAGTGTTCAGCCCAACGAGCCATACGGCGCTCCTTATTGTGTATCAGCGCACCCGCGCTGTCCCTGATTGTCTCACTGACGCCTGGTTTTCTGGGACCAGTGGTGCGGATTAGCTGGAAGAGCTTGCGGTAATTGCCTACTGCTCCTGCCTCCTCCATTTCTTGAGCCCGACTGGTCCACCAGGCTTCCTTGTCAGCACGTAGGCTCCGCTTTAGTTCACGCCTAAAAGCCCGTCTGGTCACATTGTGTTCAGAACCAGCCGGGAGGTGTCTTCTAGCTTCCAACAGGTTCACAGATCTCTCGGATATCCAGTGACTGGTGCGGTGACGACTGATAGTGCCACAAACAGATGCTCCTGCGTCGTGCATAGTGGCCGAGATCCTATTCCACTGAAGTTCAGTGTCATTGGGACAAGACAGCGAGAGTTCGCTATGCAGTGCTTCTTGATAGGCTTGCCTTACCGAGGACTGAGACAATTTCTCCGTTGCCAATCGGGGGAGACGCTTTGTGCGCCTTCCGGTAAAGTTCATGGAGAAAAAACAGCGCACCAAGGCATGATCAGAGTCGACACAGGTACTCCAGTACGAGCGGCAATCCAGAATGGAACCGCGCCACCTGTAACTTATGGTTATGTGGTCAATTTGGGTCCATCGCTGGCCAGCTAAAGGTGGACGCCAAGTGGCACTTCGGCGCCCACTGTGTCTAAAAGCAGTGCTAGTAAGAAACAACTGGTGCTCCGCACACAGTTGCAGCAGACGCTCACCGTTGTCAGTCCGTTCGGCGCTAAGTCCATACTTACCACCCAGCTGAGCTTCTGAAGAGCTCAGACGCCCTACTTGTGCGTTCATATCCCCTGCAAGTACTATAATATCTGAACTAGTAGTACTGCGTAGCAGCGTGTTCAGTTCGTGATAGAAAGTGTCCTTGACTGCATTAGAACTGCAGTCCGTGGGAGCATAAGCAGAAATCACAAACAAACAGCGTTTTGTTTTACTTCGCGAATTCACCTTAGCTGATGTCGTCAAACGGGCTGCACACAAACGGCTGTTCACCGGAATCCAATCAACCAACGATGACTCAGCCTTGCAGCTGAGAATGATACCTACACCAGCTTGACCCGTGAGTGCCGCATCGGCGTCTCCGGATGCGTGCAACCAATAACGAGAGGATAAGCCGGGTGCAGTCAATTCAATAACCCTGTTAGGGTCATTAATCCTAGTTTCGGACACACAACACACATCAACACCCAGTGTATCCAAGGTGCGTGCGAGTGCAGCCCGCTGACCTGTTTGTCTTAGAGTGCGAACATTGAATGTCGCCATGGAAACGGGACAGCGTGGCCTTATAAGGGATTTTTGCCGATAGGCGTCCGATATGTGCTGTGAGATGGTGGCTGCAGACGGTACTACTCCAGTAGCACTTCGGTTGCTGTCAATTAAGCTGGGAATTAGAGAAGGAAGGTTAGTAATAGGGGCCGGGATGGGAGTAAGAGAAAAAGGTGGAAAACAAAGAAGGGAGGCGCCAGCAGTAGCATGTTTTCGCTTATCCGCCCTGCTGTATGCAGCAGATAAGGCGACCCTTGATAATCTGCGCGACGGCCGATGCAGGATGAAGTTTATGTTTGAAGAAAATGTCATGGTTGTATGTGGGCTGGGATACTGCCAGGGCGCCCAGACCTAGACAGGAGAACGATTAGGGTCCTCATCCAAAGCCTTTGGCTCAAAAGCCTGTCCGCAAGGCAGCGGGGGG